TGCGAAACCGGACTACATTAGGGGCAGTCGGCAGGGAGAGTTTTATCCACCGTCTACTGAGGGCCACTTTTATCTTCGCATGCAGGTAGAGTATTCCTTTGAATCCTAGATTTTGTGTTTTTGGTCAAAGGTTTCTTCACGGCCCTCCTATATTCCCTCCCTATTCTCTTCGTGCAGGTCAAAGATTCGGGGTGTGGTATTAGCCCCCAAGATATTCCACTCATCTTCACCAAGTTTACAGAGGCTCGAAGTGCATCAAATCGAAGCAACAGCGGGGCTGGTCTTGGACTTGCCATTTGCAGAAGGTATTAACCCATGGTTTTAAAGCCACAAGCTTTGATTTCGCAAATCTCAACTCATAGATAACTTCCGTTACTGCTATTACAGCATGTTGTCCTTGTTTATTCTCTTATTGCCATATACATTGTGTTTAAATCTTTTGTTGTCAAACAATGAATTGAACCAGGTTTGTACAGCTGATGGGTGGTCATATTTGGATAGAAAGCGAGGGCCTAGGTAAGGGCACCACAGTTACTTTCATCGTTAAACTTGGCTCATGCAACTATCCGAATGCCCCGGCCATTGTGGCCCCTCGAGGGAGAGCAAATCAAGGCAGTGACGATCTCTTCAAATATAGACAGTACCATAGAGGAGATGGTTCAATGTACGCCCCCGTTCCACGCTATCAAAGGAGTCTTTAGGCACAACTGAGTTGCCAAGAAAACATAACTGCTTCTTGATGCCCAGTGGCAAACTTGATTGATAAAAGTTCCATTAAAATAGATGATTTTACATATATATATATATATATATATATATATATATATATATATATATATATATATATAAAGCCAAGCCAAGTCTGTAAGGTACAGTTGTGATGATAAATAACCTTAATTTGGTAATTTTTAGCATACTTAAAAGGCATGGTACTTCCATGTTTGTGTTCTTGTCATTTGCGTTAGGTAATGAGAGGACTGATGTGTTCCTTGTTCAATTGCAATGTACATTTCAAGCATTACAGCATTCAAAACATGTACATACAAAAACGGGCGTTTTCACCTTTTTATCCAATGCTTAATTGACGACCTGTGTCTTAGTCAAAATATTGTTGGTCGTGAGGGACGGAGGAGGCTAAGTTAGCCGAAAGATGGTTTTCGGTTCAAGAACGTAAGGTGCGCTTTCAAGGTAAAAAGGGATAGAGAAAATGCCTTGAGCCAATGTTCGAGTACGAGAAAATGCCTTGAGCCAATGTTCGAGTACGAGGCGCGCTGAAGTAACCCATGCCATACTTCCAGGAAAAGGCTGAAGTAACCCATGCCATACTTCCAGGAAAAGCTCAAACGATCAACCACAAAAGTGTACATGTATTCGAAACTGACAGCATTCAAAACATGTACATATAACTAGAAGGTCTCGAGTTCAATATACAACTAAAAGATCACCAGTTCAATTCTTCTCCGACAACCTCTTAGTATAGTTCCGTTTTAGTGTGATTTTCAGGCTATTACGCTAAAAAAACTTGAATACTAATTCAACACAACTCAAATGATTTATAACACAAATGATCAGAATATGCCACAATTAAAACAAACAATAAATGCTTTAAAATAAATCCTTAAACTCATATTGTCATATAGGTTACATTGTCTCATCAAAACAAAACACCAAAAACTGTGAAGTAAAAAATACTGCCATTCTAAAGACATAAAACTGGGAAAGATTCACCAAGTCCTTGGAATCAAAGACCAGGGCTTCACTTCTTAGACTTCTTAGATCCCCTGCAGATATACAAAACATGCTTAATGGCTGCCCATAGCAAAATAATAGCAATTGAGAAATTTCAAGATAGTAACTTACTGTGCTGGCTGAGTTTGAGGCACTGGTGCTGGAGCTTCCCTCTCTGCTGGGCCCTGTGGATGAAGAGAAGATGCATATTAGATATCAATGTTTTGAAGGTAAAAACTCTACGACGCCTACTTCCATACCTTAGCCAAACGTTCCTCTCGCCTAGCAAACTTTCTTTCTCTGCTTGCCTTGTTCTTGGCCCTCTTAGCCTCAAACTGGTCAGACAAGGTCTTTTCTCTGGCCTTTTCAGCCTTCGACTTGTGAATGCTCTCCATCAGGACACGTTTGTTCTTGAAAACATTACCCTTAACCTTCATGTACATGTCATGATACATGTGTTTGTCAATCTTCTTAGACTCCCGGTACTTGCGAAGTAAGCGCCTCAGAACTCTCATTCTCCTCATCCATAGCACTTTAGTGGGCAACCTGGCCTCTCTAGTACCCTTGCGCTTACCTGAAATTTTTCATAGTGAATCAAAAACTGTGGCCTAAACTGTTTTTCCAATTATTCCTAAATTAGAATTAGAAGCAATTGTCTAAATTTCATGAATGGGAAAAAATTGCACTGTAATGATACAAATTCTTTCCACACATTGGTGCAAAGGAATAAACAAATAAAATGGTTAAGCAAAGTAAATCCTGAATCCCCCGGGAAGTACCATATCCAGAATGACGGCCCTTCCTCTTGGCCTCCTTCATCCGACGAGCACGAGACCTTGAGTGAATCTTGGTTGGCTTCCTGATGATGAAACCATCCTTCACCAATTTCCTTATGTTTTGCCCTGAGCACAAGCAAGGGAGAGATGAATATTAAACATGAATTAAAAATAAAACCAATAGTTTATAGCAAAGTAGTGATTATGATTCCCATTTCCATTGAATATATGGAAGCTAACATAATAAAAAGCAGTTCAATTTCTTAGAACTACAACTATATAATACAATTTTGCAATAACTATCTGCAACACTGAGTGGATTAAGTGGTATCACCAAAACAAGGAGAAAATAATGAATACATTAGACAGCATAAAATTCACACAAAGAGATACCCTAAGAAAAGGTTAAGCCATATCTTTTACACTAAAAAGAATGTACTAGCCAGTATGACAACAAATTTAAGAAAGGAACATAGTCCATGATTGATAAATTGGTATAACCAGTGAAGTAGGTGACCTCCAAATTTAAAGAGAACCCCTCACAGCATACAGAAAGTGCAATAGCTATTAATCAAATTTCTTCAATTTCAATTGAGCAAAAAGACTTTTGCTTTCAGTTTAATTCTTTAGCATATATAGTTTAATAGAAAGAGAGATAGTACATTTCAGACAGCATGAAATTCACAAAAAGAGCATCAACCAACAAAAATAACCAAAGAAAAGCTAAAGTCATATCCTTTACACTAAAAAGATTACTAACTAGTATGATAACAAATTTAAGAAAGGAACACAGTCAATGATTGAAATAACCAGTCAAGTATGTGACTTCCAAATTTAAAGAGAACCCCTTTCAGCATACCAAAAGTGAAATAGCTATTAATCAAATTTCTTCGATTTTAATTGAGCAAAAGGCTTTAATTCAATTCTGGATAAAACGAACAGAATATGAGCATATATAGTTTAATAGCGGGAGAGATCTTACGAGAGTTGGCCATGGAGATCTCGTTGACTTCATTTGGGTCGAGCCAGACCTTGCCTCTGCCGCACTTGAGCACGCTGGCGGAGAGCCGCTTCTGTAACTTCAGCGACACCATTTTCGGTTCCTCTCGATTGGCGGCGATACAATGCGATATGATGACTATCCAGGGTTTTTTAAGAACGGGATTTTGTAGCTATTGGACTTTGGATTATGGGCCTGAAGTGAAACGCCTTAATTCTAGCCCTTTTTGGGCCCGCAATTAAATTTTACTGCCTAGTCTGTCTTCAAATGGCTTTTAATTATGGGCCTGAAATGAAACGCCTTAATGTTAGCCCTTTTCCAGCCCGCAATTTAAAATGATGAGATTACTAAGTTAACAAACTGACCAACTTGATTAGAGTTGTGCTAAATAACTTCATTATTATTATTATTATTTTAAGGACAGATAATCTATGAATTGATGGTTACCGATTAATAAAAAGTAATGTCTTACTATGTGTTATTGGTAAAGATTTTGGTTAGCTTTATTCTTAAATGGATGAGTGATAAAGGGATTCGTTTACTACCACTTAATTATATAGTTAAGCTAATATTTGAATAAGATTTGGATATATTCTGGTCGATGTAGTACAATTTGAGGTTCTGGAAGGTGTAGTACATTGAGTACTATAAAACAAAAACAAAGAAATAGCAACAGCGTTTAAGTACTACAACTGCGTTACGTAGAAGTCAAAACCAGTAAAGCTGTTGGCGCCTTCCGGTTTTGCCATGTGTAAAACCAGCAGCCGCCGTAGGTTTCTTCCCCCACTAGGATTCCGACAATTTGGTACAGATTACAGAGTAAATACCTAAAATGGTCCCTCGACTGTAGCTAAATTCACAAATTAGTCATCGACTTTCAATTTCAACCAATTAAATCATTAACTTTGTAATTTTAACATAATTTGGTCTTCTGTCTATTTGACTATTTGTTGACTGTGATTTTTGAGGATTTTGGGTATTTACTCATTACAGAATAACCATCTTTTTTCTTCTTTCTTTTTCAATGTCCCTTTGCTTTGCCCTCGTCGCAGCCTTGTCGCCAACTTGCAAATGCCCCGCCCAACTTTGTTGTGCCCTCGTCACAAATTTAATTTTTTTTAAATAAATTTATCAATTGATAAATCTAATCGTATCTTAATTATTGCACAAAATTAATTTTTTTTTAATAATTTACAAATCATTACAAGGAGTGACATTTCTCTCAATTGAGAAAAAGATTTGATCCTCAAATCACAGTAGAAAATCTTGAAACTGAAAAAGATTTGATCAGCGTGTTACTGTTTCTAGGGATAAGAAAGATATATAATTTTTGCTCTCTAGAACATGAAGAACAAAAGTAAAGCTAATGTTGAATTACACTGTTCTGCTGTGGATGAAGTTTAGGATTGTTGTCATTTTTGTTTTCCTATAATCACTACAAATTGCGCGGTAAAGTTGATATGTTTGTTGGTTGCAAAAGCAGAATTAGGCGGAAATTATGAACACAATTAAATATAATTCCGAGGTTACGTTGCGGGATAAAATTACAGCGAATGTTGGACAACGTTTGAAGATGGAAAACTATGGAACAAATGGAATTAAGGAACGTAAGTACGTAATGAAGAACACAAACAGTTTCCTGGGGAGAACAATGGATGATTTGAGATTTAAGACTGGGCACAGCTGGGATTGACATCATCGAAACTCCAGAGCTCCAATGAACCACCGCCGACCATTGGCTCCGGCGGCGCCGCTGACTGGCCGTCGAGGTAAGGTATTTCGTAGAACTTCATGTATGATTCATAGGCCATTAGCTCCTCCGACAGCTTCTGCACTTGGTTCTCTTCTTCTGCCTTGTTTGCTACGTGAACCACCTTATCTTCTTCTTCTTCTTCGCCTTCCTCCTTAATCTGGTTCATGAATGATCCTTCATTACCAATCTGGGAACATGAATAATACCCATTCTCTGAGCCTGAAATCGACCCGGAAGCTTCTTCGCTCTGAGCTGAATATCCCATGGCGGGCTCGGCTCTGTAGTAATACGAGTCGACCGGGTAAGGAAAACTGGTGCCGGCGTTTTGGAATCTCGGGTTGTAGTCATCGAAATCCTCGTTGGGGAAGTTCACTTTGGCTTTCTTTCCTCGGATTTTCCGAGCTTCCCTGTCGTACGCCCTCGCCGCTTCCTCCGCCGTATTGAACGTTCCCAGCCACACCCTCACACCCTTTCTCGGATCCCGAATCTCCGCCGCCCATTTCCCCCAAGGTCGCTGCCTGATTCCCCTGTACAGATTTTTCCTCTGCCTCTTCTTCGCCCTCTCTGGACGCTCATCACCTGTTCGTTAAAATTCCCGAATCAGACACATACATTCACACTGTAAACATACACATAAAACTATGAAAGAAAATGGCAGTGAATATTACGCAATTACCAGTACAACGCTCGCATCGTTTAAGGGATGGACAGCCGTTCTGGGCGGAGCAGTTGGAGGCGGTACCCTTAACGGCCGGAGAATTGGGCCAACAGTCGGCCGAGCTAGGCCAGAGATCAGCTGAGGAGACACGGCGGCCGCCATTATTGTTACGGGGAATAAGATCGAAGAGGATTGCACCCCCACACATGATTTTTTTTTGGCTATATATACTGAAAGTAGAAAGTTAAGTAAGGTTTGTTGAGAAAAAAAAAAAAAGTATTGGAAGGAATGAAAGATTGAGTTGGATGCGGAAAGACGAGGAGTGGGAGAGGGGTATTTGTAGGGAAGAGAGTTGGTGGGTGACGGTGTTAAGTGCTACAGTAAGATCGAGATAGTGAAGCGTGAAGAAGTTTCGTGTTGTTTTCTACATTCTTTGAATTCTTTCCTTCTTCTTCACGTGAATCTCTGCAAGTTGGCCACCCTGAATTAGAGCCATGAAGTAGCGAATTTAGTCCTCTGAAGAACCAAATTAGCGTAATTAATTTGTTTTATACTGTTTTCAAAAATTGTTTTATACTCTTTAGTATATACCCATGATACTAAATGAAAAAAAAAAAATTGCATTTTTAGTCGTTTATTTATACCCATGATATATACTTAGTCTCTTAAATTATATGTATGTATGATTATCTTTAACTATTAAATTATGCATGAATTAGTAATTTTAGTTATTAAATTACAAATTGATGGTATAAATAGTCTGAGGGATTAAAATTATCATTTCGCGTATGACTTAAGGGTCAAAGATGATCACGCATATAACTCATGAACTAAGTTTATACTACATACGAATATATATAACTGAATGATCAAAAATGCAATTTTTCTTTAATAAGTAAATAGTACTCTATAGTTTTTCATATTGTATTTATACCTAATGTCTTACATTTGTATAGTTATTATGCTGGGTTTTTTTTTTTTGAAATAAGAAAATTTATTAAATGCTCAATTAATAATATTTAATTGCATATTTGTACGTGATTATTTTAGTAGTCATCATATAGTACCACTTATTTTAATTTTTTATTTACGGGTGAATCACAAATAGATAAATCAATATAAATTATTTATAGTTAACCAATTTAAATCAATAATATTAATAAATAACTCATAAAAGAAATATACTTAAAATTTGAGTTAATTCTAACAATGGTCCTTCGACTATATTGATTTTCCAAAATTAGTCCTCGATTTTTAATTTGGACAATTTACGTCCCTTGACTTTCAATTTCTTTTCAATTGAAGTCCTTTTGCCAGATTACGGTAAATTGGACTTTAAATGAAAGGGTAAAGTAGTCATTTCATCTTCCTAATATATAATTCTTCGTATTTCTTCCTTGTATACGCGACTTGGGACATCAGGTTCACTTAATTGCTTAATCCATAAATTCACTAGAAGAACAAAATTCCATAAAGGATTAAGTAATTAAGTGAATTTGATGTCTAAAGTCGCGTACATAAGGAAGAAATATGAAGAATTATACATTAGGCAGATGAAATGACTACTTTACCCTTTCCTTTAAAGTCAACTTTATCGTAATCTAACAAAAAGACCTCAATTGAAAAGAAATTGAAAGTCAAGAAACGTAAAGTGTCCAAACTAAAAATCGAGAACTAATTTTGAAAAATTAATATAGTCAGAGGACCATTACTGAAATTAACTCCTTCAAATTTTATAATTATCAAAGTAATTGTTCCAGCTATCTGTTAATAAAGTAACTGTTCTATGCCAACTCATTTAAATTGTCATAAATATCTATTCACATTTTAAAATATTGACATAGTTTAATAACATTAAAATATGTTAGAATAATTATATCAGAATAAAATATTTGTTTTACTACCCTATCTTTAATTCATTGCCAATATTTTTAATCAAATGCGAAATGTAGGTAGGGGCCGTCTGTTATTCGAATGATATTATGCCTACTGCGTACTAGTATCATGCCATCTTTTTTTAATAGCCGGTTAGATAAGTTCAAAGAAAAAAATTATGAAAAGAGTGATTAAGTGAATAAAATACCAGGACTATATGGTATAATGGTACTCGAGTTGGACTTCTATTTGGAAAATTATGAGTTTGAGCCTTAGTGGAGGTGTTATTGGTTCTTTGTGTTTCAGTAGGTTGATAAAGTGAACAGATACTACAATGTAATAGAACCAGTAACTTTAAAAAAAAAAGAATAAAATAAAATCTGTGTATTAAAATATTATGAATTTGTTTGTAGTAATATTTTTTTTGATTGAGTATATTATATAAAGTTTTTTTAGTACAAATTATTTCTTTGGTGTACATTTTTGTTGACTATTACATATAAATAATTTATCTAGTGTACATTTACATATAGTGATTACGTGTTGTTTTCATCAGATCATTAAAAAAATAAAAAATAAAAAAAGACAGAACAGACACGTTAGAAAGATGTTATTATCGGCCACCCCACAAATTTAAATCAAATTTGGATTATGATTTGGTGCGACTTTAATCCTTGTTTAATTTGGTTATTACATATGTGTCTGCAAACAATTTTCGCAATTAAATATTCAAAAATCATAGTATGCTTAAAATTAAAAATAATTTAAAAACTCAACTTGATTTCTAATTACGGGGTTATATATACACGTTAGTAAAATTTATCTTTCTATAAATCTCTTAAATGATTGATCATCTTTATGAATAATTAGATCAATTTGATCTTTTTTTTTTTTTTTTTGAAAGTTACTGGCTCTATTACATTGTAGTATCTGTTCATATACTTTCTCAACCTACTGAAACACAAAGAACCAATAACGCCTCCACTGAGGCTCGAACTTATAATCTTCCAAATGGAAGTCCAACCCGGGTACCATTAGACCACATAGTCCTGGTCAAAAGATCAATTTGATCTACCTCTCAAAAATTTTGATCAATTTTTCTCTACTAGACACCATTAAAAACTATATCATTACATCAATAATCTATTTTAAAATTTCAGGAGAAAAAAAAAACAACTATTTTTATGTTACCATCCAAAAGTAAGAGTGAAAAAACAAATAGTTGCATGTAGAATATTAGTGTAGGAACTCTTGTTGTGAACTTGTGTTGGATAGTCAACGAATGGAAATCCTTAAAGATGGTCAACCTTTGATTTGGCATTGCGTTGAAGCATGCAATTTTGTACTGATTGTTACGAGGAATTGTCATTGTCATATGATAATAATAATAAAATAATGCAAGTGAATCCAACATAAAACCTTGGTAGCACATCGTATGGTTGAAGGCAAGGGGTAAAAAGTACACCGCACTTGACTGTGCCAATGACGACGGTGAACTGGCAGGCACACGCCAACCTGGCTTCTTTTGACAAGTTGAACGACACCAACTTCATCGATGCCCCAATAATTAATTTAGAAGTTAATTTCATTCTGTAGTCAGATTTATATGTGACAATACATTTTTAGGTTTTTTTTTTAATTATTATTAGAACATCTTTATTTGATTCATTAATTAACTCATTAATTTAGTTTAAAACTAATTTTGGTCAGATGTAATGATAATTAATATATGGACGACTAGGTACACCATAGACAAAATGGTCGCGTGTCCTTTAATATATGTAGACATAACTAATTCAACTTAATGATGAGTTAATATCTCAAGAGATATATGGATATCAAATACGGGGTATCCATTTGCTTATTATAATTATAACTCATGCCACCAGTACTCGGGTGACATGGATCGACTCTCTCAAATGAAAAGTCATGTGTTTTTTAAAATTTTGTTTTCTAACCAAGATCTCCGTATTATTTTTTCTTTCTTTCTTTGATAAAAGGACGTTAGGACTAATATGCACATGACCAATTTACTAGTCATTAATTCACACAACCCGTCTCGCTTAATAGGTAAAGAGTCTTCGGCCCACCAGGGTAAGGCAACCGTCCATATGACCCAATTGAAACGCACCATGCCCACCACTCAAGCAAGTTGAGCGATTAGCATCGGCAAATTATTCCATGGACTCGGGTCCATATTTCAAAAATATACAATTTACATAATAAATGTTCAGAATTTTTAGATACTGAATATTCATAATTTTATATACTAAATGTTCATAATTTACCTACTGAATGTTCATCATTTGAATTGTCATGAAACTAGAAGCTAACTAATCGAGAAATGAACAATTTTGCGGTCAAAACTTTGCACCCTGCAGCCACCACGGGATGTACACTAACATTCTAGAAAATGATTGTTCGCCACTGATTCAGCTGGCATCAAGGATGAACCATTATAAACATATATACATTCATGCAAGTGGATTGCCATTATATTATTAATGTTTCCCAGTATATACATTAAACATTTTAAAAGGCCGGGAAGAAACACAATAATACTTCATTGTTCAATATCAATTGCCCTAGAAAGCAAAACTACCCAGAAAGAATTGAATGAACTATATGAAGCCAAAGTGGCACATAAAAACTTCTGAAACAAACTAAAGAACATGAACTCGAAAAGTTCATTCAGTTCTCAATGAACTAGAAAAACTAAAGAGTTGTTTACCAAAGTAGAGAAATTGAGAATTTTCATGAAAAATAAAAAAATTAAAGGAGTAGAAAAATGAAAAATAAAAAACTTGTTTATTAAAATGGTTCTTTCAAATTCTTATTCTATCTCTATTCTCCATATTTTTTAATGATTTCGAGAAATTAAAAACCAACTTCTCCAAATGGAGAAATGGCCATGACACGCGTGAACAGTGTGGCTTTGAGGTCGCATGATGGTATCATGCTGGCAACTTGCGCGTTCTGCTGCTTTACATTCCCTTTCCCTTCCCATACGTATTCCCCCCTTTTCCTCCAATTTCCCTTCCCCATATTATCCCTTATTATTATTATTATTATTATTATTATTATTATTATTATTATCTTTTTTTTATTTGTTTTCCTCCACCTTATGCACACTGGTTTATTATTATTATTATTATTATTATTATTATTATTATTACTATTATTGTTGTTGTTGTTGTTGTTATTATTTTTGTTGTAAAAATATACAAATGTTATATGAGATGATTGTATTTAATAAAAAAGAAAATTAGATAAATGGAAAAGGAGAAGAATGGAGAAATTGAAAACCACAAAAATAGAAAAGAAAACTGAATTGGAAAACTGAAAATGGAAAAATAAAGAAACGAAGTAAACAATCCTAAAAGTCTCCAAAAGTGTGGAAACTCCAATTCTCAATTACATGGAGCTCGGTGCTTTCCTCCGTAGAAGCCGAGAAGCCAACAAACATGAACTCGTGGAGGTAACCAGAGAGGTCTATATCAACCACCATTACAGGGGTTCTAGGCTTGGGAGTGTCGTAATTCAAGAAAACCTCCAGTTTCTTCTTGCAGCTCTGGTAATCAATCCAAGCAGTTATTGTGAAGCCACTCTTAAGATTGATATCACCCAGCATTGCAGTGGGAGTGGTCTTGACAGAGACAATGGTGTCTATATCCAATCCCACATGGTTGTCATCTGGGTCATCAAATTGCAAATCTTGCACCGTATCGAACTCAACCGCAACAAACCTGTTCTTGGTCGACGTCTGGGACGATGAGTCCATCAGGCCCAAGAACCCTCCTGGGCTCTCCAAACTGTGGCTATAAGGGGAGAGGAAGAAGCAGAATCCAGCCCCAGATGACGGCGGATTCACGCTCTCAATCATAAAAGTGAATCTTGTGGAGAAAGAAGCGGCAACATTGGCGTCTTTGTGAAAGAAACGAATTGGGTTCTTGTACAAGGCGGAGCCAGATCTTGAAGATGGGACTTGTGACCATCTGCTGAGGAATAGAGCACCATTTTCGAGGTATGAGTCTCCAAGAAGAGTGAGGTGGTTAGTGAGATTGAAAGATGGGAAATGGAAGCTGAAGTTGTGAGAGCGAGCGGGGTTGGGGTTGAAGAAGAGAATCAAGAAAAGACAATAACAAAGAAAGAGCTTTGTTGAAGACATTTCCATGGCGATGATTGAAACAAGTTTTGGTTTTCCAGAAGAAAATATATAATGAAGATGTCTTGCACATTGTATGTAACTCGCTGCTCATCATTTGGTCGGCGTGTGTGGGCGGGACTGTTCCGGTCAACGATGGAGATTTCATGCAATATAATGGACGGTTGGATGGTTGGGGTCTGCTTCAATTCACCAGTTTGGCATGGCAGCAAGGATATCATGAAGTACCCAAAACTGAGAATTGCAATTAACAAACCCAAACAAAATATTTAAAATACAAAAATTTTAAAAACCCCTTTCAATGCTCTGTTTTTGGCCTTTAATGCCAAACAAACTCTTCTTAAATTGGTATTCTTCTCATGTTGTGAAGAACAGACAAGCAAGATAAGGAACACGGACCCAGATTCTATTTTATTTAATTGAGCAAAATTTTGATATTCTTTAATATTCATGGTATTACCTTGAATATTTATTATGATTCAAATAATTACAGAAATCAAGATTTTTTTATGGTATTATAAGTAATTTTAAAAAATTTGATAACTTAACTCTTTTAAATATTTGAGAGCCTATATACTCGTTGAATCATATATCACATGCAATTTGCCTAATTCACTAATTTTCATGACAAAAGTAATGATGAAGTTCAAACTTAATAACAACAAAAAGAGCATTCTTGTACATTGATCAAAGGAAGATTGCTTTCAGATTCGCTGTTTTCATGCCCAAAAAAAATAAAAAAAATAAAAATAAAAATAATAACAACAAAAAGGGTTGTACTGTTCTGGTATTAAATGCCATATGCGTGTTACAGTTATATATATATATATATATATATATATATATATATATATATATATATATATATATGTAGATAATTCCAGCAATGATCCTTCGACTATATTGATTTTCCAAAATTAGTCCTTGACTTTTAATTTGGACACTTTAGGTCCCTTGACTTTCAATTTCTTTCAAATTGAAGTCCTTTCATCAAAATACGGTTAATTGAAGTTTAAATGAAGGGGTAAACTCATCATTTCACCTGCCTATGTATTATTCTTAGTATTTCTTCATTGTATATGCGATATATATGAAGATAATCTTAGTCGAAACCCTAAAATGTTCCTCGTCGTTCCCCATTTGCTGACTACTCGTGTGTGCGTTCCTCTATTATTGAGATGTTTACAAGGTATAACAGCGAAATACGAAAGGAGAAATACGAAGAATAATACATAGGCAGGTGAAAGGACGAGTTTACCCCTTCATTTTAAAGTCTAATGAACCGTATTCTAACGAAAGAACCTCAATTGGAAAGAAATTGAAAGTCAAGGAACCTAAAGTGTCCAAATTAAAAGTCGGGGACTAATTTTAGAAAATCACTATAGTCGGAGGACCATTGCTGGAATTAACTCTATATATATATATTGAAAGGAAGCATGTAAACCTCATCAAGAGAGCAAATAAAGATATATGTGTACACACAACCAATTTAATATAAGATGGTAAATATTATTAATATAAAGATGTGACCAATTTACCAGTCCTTAAATCAAACAACTCGTCGCGCAACCCGTCTCGCCTGGCTATGTGGACCATAATTAAAAGTATATTATTTGTGTATTGAATTTACATTATACAAAATAATATATTTTTCCTAAATACAATGTACATTTTTAATATACTAAAAGTACATTAGTTGTATACTGAATGTATATTATTTGATAGTATGATCTATACAGCTATGTGAACCATGGTCCATACAATAATGATTGCAAGCAAACATAACAATTATACAAAATAATGTATTTTTCATGGTAGCATGTGTTGCTAGCACTCTTACTTCAATTACAACTGAGAACAGAAAAAGATTACCCCTATGTTTGACGCTTCACAAACAAAAATGGTAAACAAATGACCTATTTAAGTAACATTTGATTACAAGAGAATTGATTTAGTAAAATTTTAAACAAATGACCTAATAATCAAGTAAATGGTAATAATTGAGGGACCTGAACTGGTATTTTAATTATTCAAGATATTTAATTTAGTAAATTTTAACAGAAGACCTAATGAAGTAAATAATCAAGGACCTCAACTGGTATAAACTCGATTTTTAATATGCAATACTGGAAGCAAATATATTCTTATTACATTAGATACATGCTGAACTAACTTGCATTTATCAACTCACTTTAAGACCTAAATGTACACGAATAGCTTGACAACTACAAAGTCAAAGATTTGATTGGATAAAATGACTCAACAACAAAATTATGGTCCCACTCCCACAACACTCCTTGGTAGGTCGATGAAAAATCCAAGTGTAGGAAAGTAAATTAACCTTTCACCAACACTTTTACAGAGATGAATTACAGTAAGCTGTCTCAAACTCTGTTATTTTTTATTTGTCCCTTGCAAAATGGCCTTTACAAGTATACCTCATCACCAATATTTTTTGTTTATATACAGTAGCCTTACTCCAGATTAGCCCGGGTTGGCTGTTGGTTTAATTGTCAAATGTTAGAAAATTTCATGAGAACTAAAAGCTAACTAATCCAGAAATGAACAAAAGATGAACAATTTTGCGGTCAAAACTTTGCACCCTGCAGCCACCACGGGATGTACACTAACATTCTAGAAAATGATTGTTCGCCACCATGGGATGTACACTAACATTCTAGAAAATGATTGTTCGCCACTGATTCTGGCAAGCTGCAACCCGTGGACCAACCCAAAACACCGAGGATAAGATCCACTTTGGAACATGCAGTCACCTGTAGGAAAATGTATGTTCCTTGTTACATTTTCTGCTAAAAGTGAACAGTCATACAGATGCATTTTGAATACCATACCAAATTATCCAAGCTTGCTTCAACATGAAATAGCATCACGGCCATTCCTTTCCCCCTGTCAATCTCCGCCTGGAACAAGTAGTTTAGCCATGATCATTCTCAACAAATGATTAAACAAAAAAAAAAGAGTACTCATGCCGCAATCGTTGGAGAGCCTAGTCCAGATGAGAATGTAGGCTGGAGATGATTCAATCAATGAATGTGTAAAACAATAGTGCTACATTGAGGGGAAGGAATTGGAGACCCTTATGGGACAAAATTAACACAATAATACTTCATATATATAGACTCACCACACACGAACATATTGTGACGCTTACAGCTGCCAATGTTGTTGTCACATCAGCCATCATGCCTATGAATCACATTGTACAAAAAATATTAGTCACCATCGGATGAACCATTATAAACAATATATGCATTCATGCAAGTGGATTGCCATTATTGTTTCCCAGTATATACATTTAACATTTTAAAAGGAAGAAACCCTCAAAGTTCTGGTTATTCAAACATTCTTAATGAAGCACTTGAAAAACCAATAAATTATTTCAACAGTTATGACAGTCACTGCAGAAAATGAGTCAATATGCCAATATAGTATCTGAAATATGCAATAAATGGAAAGATAGCTTAAACTATAACCTCTTCGGTCTAGGCAGACTACACACAACCACTGTACAGAATGCCCTTCAAGGTTGTTCCAAGATGAAACCTTGTTGGCGAGCCAGTTCTCCAATCCAGGAAACACTTCACGGTACATAGGAATGTTAGCACAAATTGTCCTGCCAACGCCATTACCCTGTGATAAAGTCTCTCCTTCGGCCTTCAAACTCACGTGCTGCAGATGCTTACTGTGTTTACCATTCACCTTGGGGATCTGGATGCTACTACTATTAAAATGAAACATATCTTCTTCACTCATCGTCGCAGATGACATTTTCACAACATTCTTTAGAATTTTCTCCCAAGTGTGTTTAGTACCCTTAGAAGAATCAAATACTTTTTCTGTTTCACTATCATCACCAGATTCAGCAGCAAATTCGTTTACTGATTCTGCAGTTATTTCAGTTGCTGATAGAGCAGCTTGCTCTCTTAAAAACTGAAGATGAAGAGAACATTGGGCTAGATAAGTATGAGGTATTATTTATTAGATGCAAAATGAAATAAATTCTCAATTCTCAAATCTGGAGGGATGGGAGAAAAAAAAAATATTACTTTCATAATCTTGTGCCTGGCACTACGTGTTTTTGCATGCTGCAACCACTGTTTATGTCTTTGAAAAGCAGATTTGTTGGAGAGGCCCTGACAAAGGAGGGGATTTGGAAATTTTATTAGTTACCAGATGCATATTTACACTAGTAAAATTCTACTTTATCTCTCTTTTGGAGTTTCTTTTTTTTCTCTTTTTTTTGGAGTGAAAGGGAGAAGCTGGTGTGAGAATAAGAGATGAAATACTAAGCAACTAACACTGTAGGTAATGATCTCCACAACTTCAGCATTGGCCAGCACATGCACCGGAGAGACAATATTACCATTCACCTACAGATAGTGAATCACCCAAATGACATTTTGACTCACAATGATACTTACAAATCGGTAGAAATGATCAAACCTTTGCAGCCACCATTTTGTTGCCAATTTCAGTGTGTATCATATATGCATAATCAATTACAGTAGCCCCCCTAGGAAGATTTTTAATCTGTAAAGAGAGTATTTATTATTCCATTAAAAGAAAACAACATACAAAATTATACCTATTTTAAAAATATATAGAATCTTTACCTCTCCCCTGGGTGTAAAGACAAAGACACGACTGCCTAGAAGATCTCTTGTAACAGTGTCTACAAATTCCCTAGAGGTCATATTCCCAACAAACTCCTCTTGCCACTCTCTAATTGCATTCAGCCAGCCAATCTGATTAAAAGAACTATGAAATATTATTAACAATGTTTAAAGGGCACAGATTCCAAACCAATGCTCTAAAGAAGAAAAGAAATTAGATAATAAGATTAGAGTTTTACAAAGACAAGTAATACAGTACCCTAAGAGCAACATTGGCATTATTGAGACAGACTGTCTTCCCATGGCCACGGGAAGAACCGTTATGAATAGCATGTCCAATTACACCATTAAGACCTTTCCCACTATAATGTGCAGCAATGCCCCTCTCTGCTATTAGGTCCATCTCTTCAGTTCTTATCTGAAAAAGTTAAAATCAATACATAAAGAAAGAATAACTTAAGCTAAAATGACAATCCAATGAACACTAGTGATGTGGTTAAGGGTGCATAAAGGAACAAAACTCCTTTATAGACCCAAGACTACCTGAACCTCCAACCGCAACATGCTTTCATAAAGAAATGGAATCACTGTTGTATGCAGGCTCTGATAGCCATTAGGCTTCGGGGTAGCAATGTAGTCTTTCACCTGTTAAAGGAAAGGTAATAAATATTATACTAATATAAACATAAAAAAATCTTTGATAAATCAAAGGGGGAAAACAAGAGGGTGGAGAAGGTCACGCGACTACGTACAGCTCGAGGTATAGGTGTCCAGATTCCATGCACAAGTCCAAGTACATGGTAGCATATCTAGAGAAAACAACTTTATGAGAAACCTAGTATCTAAAAGACTAAAAACTGCTTTTCTGTTCATTAAGAGAACTCCTAAAGCATATAAGGTAAAAATAAGCAACCAGGAAATGTCAAAACAAAAGAACAGTGCTATCCACACTTTTATCCTATTTCCTGAACATATACTTCTTTATATTCTCGGATAAAGAGCAGTGCCAAAATCAAACAGAGGGCTCAACTCAAACCCAAGGTAGCATTTTTCTATGGGTAATACCTGTTGTGCATTGCAAAGTGGCCCTACTCCAGCACAAGGTTTTGGTTTTATAACAACACGAATCTGATAATCCAAAAAGACAGAAGTCTGAGAAACAATTAAACACGATGCAATTTCTTCAATCAACTACTCGTAGTCCCAATATCAAGAAAAAACCTGTGCAATCTGGTTGACTTCATTAATTGAACTCTTAGATTTGAGAACAGATCTGTAGATGCTGCATGCAAATAACAATATGAAGTCAATAGAATTTTTTTTTTTTGGTTAAACATTGATGGTCAACGTGAGAGCATATAAGATTTCCAGAATCTCTTGATGTTCTCCACAACCACAAGCACTACGATATTCCTAGGATCAAAGCAGCTGATCCAGTGGATCTTTTCTCGTTTCAAAAGAAACAGTACGCTTTATGATGGAGAAGTGGAAAGCTCGAGAAAACTGATCAGACTAAAACATTCACTTACCCATCCCTTCTTTCCAATAGTGTCCATAGAAAAATAAAAGATTTACCCTAGTGCCACTGGGGGTATTGGACTATTGGCTTTAAGTAATCCATTAAAGAAGAAAATAAGAGAAAAAGAACAGATGCAGATAAAAGAAATAGGAAGGTAGGGACCCAGGATCACCTGTAAGGCTCTTTGCATACTGATCGGACCTCAGCGTTCACTAACATGAGATCAAGGAATTGATCATCCTCAATTTTCTTTGTCAATATTCTTTTTGCCTAAAACAATATAATGAAAAGGTGCCATGAATGTCAAGAAACAAAAGAAGGCAATGCAAAATTCAGAAGATGTGCCAGAGTTTCCCACTGCAGCAATTCATTGATGCGATGCGAAACAACAGAGTGATGTCTGATAACTAACTGCCACATCATCGTTCCAATCCAGTAGGGTAAGGAGCTTTACCTCTAAGAGTTCTTTTTCATGCTCTTTATAGAGTTCTGAAATTCTCCTCTGGACCTTGGCATAATCTTGGGCATTTGTGTACATGAATGCTAGATTTTCAAGTTCAGACTGCAATAAATAAACTTAATTAGGCATTTAAATCTACAAAATAGAGTAGAAGAGATTAGTTATGAAATGCCTATCAATGATTTCCAACAAGAACCACAACTCAAGCCAAAATGAATTAAAATCATTGTTTGGAGCCATTAAGTAACTCAATAATCACTGGTGGGACTGGGGAAAGGAAAAAAAGAAAAAAAAAGAAAAAAAGAAAAAAAAATGCCCTAGTAGCACAAATAGCAAGTAACAAATTCATTTAGCAAAGAGAGATAACTACATGTAAAAGTCAAACCAAGGAAAAGGCTCTGAATTGCGATGCAAGGTCAACCTCCACTAAAAAAGAATGTAATTAAATGGGTCATAAATGATCTTAAAAGTCAACGATTATTCACGTGTGACAATATTATGATTGAAATCTTTATCGACATTTAAGGGAAATAAACAACTGTAGAAATTTAGTGAAAAATATAAGATTATTAAGCATGTCATAGTGAAATAGCAAAATTATGTAGTTGTGTGACAAGAGGCACCTTAATTTGGTACATCCCAAGCAATTTTGCCAGAGGAGCAAAAACCTGCAGTGTCTCTTTAGCAATGCTGGACTGCATGCAAAAGATAACACACATTATAAATCAGAAGTCAAAAGAAACCAAAAGAAAACCAAACTTAAACCACACCTGCTTATGGGGAGGCATATGTGAAAGAGTACGCATGTTGTGTAATCTATCAGCCAATTTGACAATTATAACACGGACCTGAAAGTTGCAATTTTTAGTCACCAATAACAATTGAGCATGCATGAATCCAGATACAAATGGTTTCATCACATTACCTCCTCAGTCATTGACAGAAACATCTGCCGAAGGTCATCAGCTTTGACATCTTGAGCAGAATGGTTTTCATCCTTATACTTGATCTTTCCAAGTTTGGATACCTTACATCACCAAACATAGTGATATAACATACTCAAAAAAATTTAAATTAATAACACACCAAACAGAGTGATATACCTTGGTTTCCCCTTCTACAATGTGGCGAACAGTAACACCAAATTCCTGCTCTATTCTTTCAAAAGTAACAACATTTGTATCTTCTACCGTATCATGCAAGAGCCCAGCAGCAATTGATTCCCAGTCTAGTTCCTATGAAAGGCATTCAAAATCAGTTAAAATCTCCTCTGAAAAGGGTGCTCCTAGAATATGTATAACTTACAAGTTCTCCAAGAATTTGAGCTACTGCAACTGGGTGTATGATGAAGGGCTCTCCACTGCGACGCTTTTGACCATCATGTGCCTCAAAAGCTAACTGTAAAGTAACAGGCAGTAATATTCAATCTAAAGTTGTGAAGCATCACTCCAGTTGCAAGGAAAACATAGAGAAAGGAATGTGCCGGAACCCACATTGAGGAAAGGCAAGAAACATAATTAGCACAAGTGGATGGAAGTGAGCTAAGAGAAGATCGTAAAATAACTAAGAACATAGAAATGCATGTGGGCCAGAAAAACTTACATTCAAGGCATTTTGGACCAATTCCAACTCCTTAGGTGAAAGATATGAGATAGTAGGTTGAAGATCCTGAGAAAATAAGTTTAAGGTATTAGTTACCCGACCCAACTTTCAGGCACTTGCTGCACCATAACTTCTAAAATATGCTAATTCAGAAAAAGTTCCAGATCAGCACACCAAAGACAGAAGGCATAATTAACCTAGGGTGTTCAGTGTATTTATACAGTTCAATCAATACATCACTCTACTCCAGAGTTTGTGACCTGACAACAATTTAAACTATAGGACGTTAACACTAGCATCACATACCTCCCACAAGCTTTCAGGAGATATTTCCTCATAAGGTTTTGGGGAAAAAGATGAAGAGCAACGCAATTTCCATTTGCAACTAGCTGAATGAATCAACCTTGAGCTTAGAAGTGTGTGTGGATGAACAATTTCAGAATCTTCACCAGGACTCCACCCTCCTATATCATGGGCATTACATCTCTGGCACAAGTAAAATATTGAAACATCAAACTTTATAGTCCATTAGTCATATATCCCCTCCTAACAATTAAACAAATAATTCAAAACTTCCATGGACAATTAAGATTAACTCTTCAAAAAGTCAAAGACTAGCAGCATAAACACTTGATTATTCAATAAAGAGTAATTTAAACAAAGTTTGATAAGATTAGCATCAATTACAGAACAAGTATAGCAAGCAATCATATTTGCAAAACATCAACCTTTTTTTCGCACTTATCAATTGCAGGAAGCCCTCCAAACTTACCAAGCAAAATACATCTATGGTTGCATGAATGTAATGCCTAGTGTATATGAAGAATTTTCACTTGCATAAGAAAGGACCGTACCAAATCCTTAGATAATTCATAACAAGCTTAAAAATTTAAATCATCCTAAACAAATACAGCCTCAATGCCAAAGGCACACCATACCACACCATAAACGTATCAACTAATCAGCATGCTTTCACACTAAGTAAGTCACGAAAGAACAGAGATATACTCTACCAGAAAAAAAAATCCACATTCAATTTGGTGAATTAGCCACGAACTAGAAACTTACACATCTAACGCTACTTCGTCTTCCAGCTCTTCCATACGAACCAGCGCAGAACTGAGGAGGATGGGCGGTACTGGCAAGTAATCCAGTCAATGCCCTCGGAGCCTTCGACGCACAAGGCAGCACATTACAGTTCAACCTTCCACTCACAACGCTATTCCAGAACTTACAGATATTAACACATTCCACAGAAACTGCCAAAATTCAACAAAAACATCAGCTGAAAATCAAAACCTACGAAATTCCGATTCCGCAAAACAACAGCTGAAAATCAACACTCACCTGACATTGAAGAAGCAGACGTCATACCTACATCGAAGCATCGGTACTCAGAGTAATCATCGAACGGAGCTCCAGAGCAGATACAACAACAAACAACTCCGCGGAATTCGAACAAAGCGGAGCTACACAATTACAGGACATACATATACGTAAAAGCTCTGTGCGGAGAAGAGGCAGTGGAGGGAGTGAGACAGCCGGAGAATTGAGATTATCGGAATCAAAAGATTCGCATTCGGGAGGAGAAACGCGTTTGTTTTGTTGGGAGAAAAAGATTGCAGAACAGAAAAATTAGGGCGTGAAGCCACTCAAGAAACGAGGATAAGCAGAGTGAAGAGTTAGTGGAGAGCGAGGGAGAGATTGAATGGAGATAATCTAGAGAGAGAGGAGAGAGACGGAAATGAAATAAGTATCCAAATGTCGCCCGGGCCAGATAAAAGCCGCATGGTAAAGATATTTTTGTAATTTGTTGCCCATTTGGTTCGTGTATAGGTGGATTACAAATTATCTGTACCCGGCCCGCTGACAGCATCCAAATAAGGGCATTTCTTTTCTCGTTTTTCTTGATTTCATACTATATCAGTATATCTTAGATTACATGAATCCACTTCTCATATGAGTCATATCCAATTATACATTTTTGTGCAGTGCACAAAGAGTTCATCCCAAACATCACCAATGACTTTGTTGTTTAATGGCACGAAGCGACCCTGCCAAAGAATACTTAGGGAGCGTTTGGTTCAGGTCATATAAGATAACCAATGTTATATTTGCTTGGTAATGTAAGATTCCCATGTTTGGTTCAGGTTATATAACTTTCCAAGGGAATGTCAGATAACCTCCGCATTAAGTTTTTAGATATTGGAAGGGAATATGATATACTTTCCAATTTCTTAGGTAATCTCACATTCCTTTGTCTTATTACTAATGTTGGGCTTTGTATTATTTATCTTATTATCGTTGTCTTATTTACATATCTTAGTTTTAAATCAAACATAAGAATCTAACATTCCTTAAGGTAATCTAACATTCTGTGAACCAAATGCCCCCTTAGTGTGTTCCTATGATGTAACTGTCTTTTCCTTTTCAAGGTAACCACTATGCAATGCAAACTTTTTAACCATTTCCAACCATCACACAATACACCCACCATCATCTGGCATGTCAAATAATACTTAGTGCGTTCCTATGATGTAACCGTCTTTTCCTTTTCAAGGTAATCCAAATTTTATGCTGAACATAATAACCAAGTTAAATGCCAACAAATTAAGAAGAATTATTGACTCATCATCTATTAAGTGATGACTCAACTCGTAATATTCACTTGGTTGCTACACGTGTATGGGTATTTTTTTTTTTTTTTATCAACTAGGTAGTTGTGAATTTAAAACTTTTGTGTATACATTGCATGTGAATTATACTTAATAATTAGTTATCTTGTAACTTTAAAATGTTTATGGAACTCTCAACTTAGACTAACAAATATGTATGCCTAGTCAATTAAAGCCTGCACTTTATTAATCATGTTATTTCTTTATATATGAAATGATAATAAAGAGTACAAAGTATTTGAAGACTCACACACACTTTATACTTGGCCTAATATGTCACGATATATTAAATCATATCATATCTTAATTTTATAATAAAATATAATAAATCTGATTTACAGATCAAGTATTAATTAACATAGATATCATATAAATGCAAAACATCAAAGTAATCAATGATGAATGGTGTGAATATATAAAGTAAAAAACGACTAACATATCAAAAGTAATAATAAAAAGAAAATTGATAATGAATTCAAAAATTGGAATGATCTATGACAATTTTTGTTTAGAACGAACTACATAACATATACCGAACCAAAAATTGAAAATTGAAAATTTGCTGTGGTTCAGTTATAGATGGTCAATTACTTAGCTAATTAATTACAAGCCCCTACAAATGGTCCATTACTTAGCTAATTACAGTTTACACACCCCTACAAAACATAAGTGCAAATAATTAATCCTGCCAAATATGAATGATGAATTGAAGGAAATTTAATTTATTAACACGGAGAATACATTCTAACTTTAATTTCAAGGCCGGAATTGAAGCATTATGGTTATGTTAAGGATCGGATATGATCGAGCATTATATTGCACGCACGTTGCTGATCGATGATCGATACGTAGTGTTCATGTTTGGTTTCCTCGTACGTATGTTCTGGCTGGAGCCGGCCGGATTACATGTACGTGCGATTAACAACGGCAACGAGCGGGCTTCACTTTGCCCTTGAAGATTGGCTTGGCATTGACGCACGAAACCGGAAGAAGTCCGCGGACTTTGGGAGTCGGCGCAATGTCAATGTTGGCAAATTCAATGCCCTCACAGGGATTGGATTTGCTGCATGTCAGCGTAACTGCATTTTTACTTGAAGTGGTTCCCCTTATGTTCCTGAAATGAACATCTCGGATCTTCACGTTCGATGGCTGCAAACGTATGTACAAATTAAAACGTCAAATGTATGTTATTCTTAAAAACTGAATTAATTATATGATTACCTGTATTCTGTTCTTGGAGTTGTAGTCTTGATCGATGATAATTGGCCTTTTAACATTCTTCAAGATTAAATTCTCAAAAATAATGTTAGACACTTGGAGCTTGGGTGATGCCCGGTAAGTTTTGATTCTTGCGCCGTTTGTTGTGCCTGTTAGCGTGCAATCACTCACTCTCACTCCTTTAACGGACTTCTCATCTGCCCGTTTGCCGATGCTTCCAATACTGTCAGCATACATGCAAAAAACGTAACATTATTGATTTAATTTCATGAAAGAAAATGGGGATCGGAAAGGAATTGAATGCTGCAGTGTTGAGCATATAACCATTAATGTACAATCTAATTAAGACTTTTAGTTGAGATGAAGCACATGCTTCAATTTGCGGTGGCTGACCTGATGCCATGTCCGGGGCCGCATTTGATCTTGGAGACAATAACGTTGGTGTTTCCGTCACCTATGGAAACGCAGTCGTCGCCGGTCTTGATAACGGAGTCGGTAATGTTAATGTGGGTGGTCTCGCTGATATGTATGCCGTCAGTGTTGGGGCTGTTCTTTGGCGCGGTTATGTGAAGATGGGAAACGTTGATCCCCGAGCTGTCCGTCACCTTCATGTGGAATCCCATGCTGTTCACGAAGTTGAGATGGTGCACGGCAGAATGCCGCACGCTTTGGAACAACATAGACTGCACAAAAAACGTCCATACGTTGATGTCAAGTTTATTAACGTGAGACATTAATAATTGTGAGTATATAGCCTGTGTAATTCAACTATCAGCTTAGGCTTTTAGTTGAGATGGAGTACATGCTTCAATTATAATGACTAGGCCGGGCGGGTAGCTTACGACAGGGAGAAGAGGGGCGTTCTGAATTGTGTCGCCGGCGGCATATTTCCAGGTAGCCTGGCCACGGCCGTTGATAGTTCCGCCGCCGGTGACCACCACATTATCCACATGTTCGAACGAGATCCAGTAGTCGGAAGTGTAGACGCTGAGGTCAGTGTCCGCTATAAGAGTTCCCTGAATTTCAACGGTGACGCGCTTATTAGCGGTGCAGGGTCCCTGGAAGATCACTTCTCCTGTCCTGAACTTCCCTCGGGGAATTAGAAGCTTCGCCGACGGCCCCGGTGACTTGCAAGCTTTATTCCATGCCCTTATCATTTCCTGTATATATTACAAATCCAACCATTATATATATGATTATGATTATATTCAATGCAACTAACAGGCCAGGTATTAATTTAATTAGTAATGGCATCGCAATATATATATATATACCATTGAGGAATCTACTTTGCCATTGGGTTTAGCCCCAAACTTGGTCACGTCAACGACAGTCTCGGCAAGGCCACGGCCGATTGGGATCAAGGTGGAACATACGAGGAACAACAGAATTCCAACCTTGATGGCCATGGGAGTGGCCTTCCGGGAAAGGGTTGACGAGTGACGACGATCCGACGGTTGTTTTAGGCTATGAAGAATCCGATTATGGGCGTCTGATGATGAATACAAGTAATCATTCTCTTGCCTTTTTATACGACGGTTATGTGGGTTCAATTTGCTGTTTCTTGCATGCATGTTTTTCTGTTAGCGATCTTTAAGGATACAACGTTGTTTTAGCCACCAAAAATGGCAACTCTGTGAGGTTGCATCTATTAAGGCCATACAAAATCTCATGATGTAATATAATGTACGAGTTTCATGCATGCATATTGGTAAATGTTTGGACAAATCTGAGTCAAATCATTAAAGAAATTAGGAATACTCGTTGCTTCAAAAAGGAAAGAATCTCATATGTAGCATCAACCAATAACCTGATAACATTTTATTTTTTAAAAAAATTACTTCATTACCTTTCATTGATTTTAATTTTTAGATAATCACTTGTAAATCATTCTCAAAACTATGGACTTATCATTTATAGTTGTTAATGCCAGAACTATAAAAGATAATATATCCCTAAGTTGTTCTTGTTGATATGATGTTACGACTTACACAGTCAATGACCAACCAACATAACTAATTAAAAATGATAAAGTTATAGCTAAGGAAAATGCAATAAGAGCGTAATAAAATTATGACATAGGCTAGATTTGACATATATATCTTATAAAATAGTCTAGCTTAAAAGCTAGCGGCTAGCTATTGTTTTAAGCTCTCTATATTTTACCACACATAGCCTATAACATATTTCAAACATATTACAAGTTTTTTTCAAGTAATTATATTGCTAAAAAATAATTATAGTACTCGATTTAAAATACTCCATAATAAGATATATCTCATAAATCATGCACGATTACAAATTAATTGTCTTGCGAAAATATGAAAGTAATATTTTATATCCGAACATAAATCAAACCAATTGTTCCTTTCAAAAATAGATAAGACCGTTCCAAGATCTTCGACTGAAATAGGCCTGTACTTGGGGTCGAAATCGAATGCAAAACTGCTAGTAATTAACACATTAATTCTTATCCACTTTCCATATATGATGGGACAGCATAACTCTAGAGGCATCGAGAGGGCAATATCACAATGTTGTATGAGAGTCCGAGACGCAATAAATAAAAAGAAAAAAAAAAAAAAAAAGAGAAACACAATGAATTCAACGTTAGACAGCGCTGCCTACACGTGGATGTGTTTTCTGTATTTTAATTTGAGAAAAATTTAAACAATAAATGGTGAGCAACGCATCGAATGATTGTAAATTCATAAGACTTTTTACTGTTTTCGTTTGGTGTTGGGTTCAACAGCAAAAATGCAAAATGAGCGTGGTATGATTGACAGCGACTTTGTTCGCCATCACCTCGTAGTGGATATGGTTAAGGAAAACGATTAGCGAATTAAAATTTCTGAAATTCTGTCCCCACTTGTTTATATTAAACGATGACAATATTAAGTATTGTTGATCTTATGATTAAAACGGTAAGTGTCGTTTGGTTCACGAAATGTCAAATTACCTTAGGAAATGTTAGATTGTTGGAAATGTTAAATTACTAGAATGTTAGATTTCTGTGTTTAGTTAAAATTAGAGTATGTAATATAATCATGTTTGGTTTAGGGTTATATTTTATACACACTATAATATCCTTAACATATTTTTATATATTTTAATAAATTTAAAAATTAAAATAAATAAATAAGATAACGGTATCATATATAATTACATGATTTTAAAATATTAACTAAAATCTTGAACTTGAGAAACAAAATTATTTTATATGCTAACATAACATAATAAAAATATATATAATTACAAAAATAATTATATATATATATATATATATATATATATATATATATATATAATAAACAAACATAACCAAGATTATCTTACATTACTTAAAATTTTGAAGGGAATCACATTCTTTTCAAAATCCTATGTGGAGGGAATGTGACATTCCTGGGGATTGTTAGATTCCCTAAGATAATATGAACCAAACACCGGAATCTGAGCTTTGGAATGTCACATTCCCTTGGTTATGTTATATAACCTGAACCAAACGCCCCCTAAATATATTGTATAAGGAAATTCAGTAAATTTTGGATGTTCATTTAAAGGATTTGAATCTGTCTACCATTTTCTGTTTCAAGTATTTATATAGTTGTTCCCTAAGTATTTATATAGTTGATGATGGGATAGGTCGATAGGCATACACTCACTCGAACTAGGCAGCAGAAGATATGCGCAGTCGGCAGGTAGGTCGAGTATAGAAGGTAAGGCGGATGAGTACTGTCCAATCGGTCAAGTGGGAGTGGGTAAGTAGGCTAGCGGAGACATTAGAGCAAGCAGTAATATAGGCAGGATGATAGAACTGGTAAGTCGTTGGCATGCATGATGCTTGACGGAGGTAGGCGAGAGAAATGACGGCCTATAAGCGGCCAGTCGAGTAGAGGTTCGGGTGAAGTTCCAAGTAGGCGGAGGACTCTTCGGGTGGAACGGGTAGGAGAGAGAAGATTGACCGACTCTGAGAAAGACTCAGACAAATGTTGAGATGTTGGTCGTATCAAGAAGACATTTGGGAAGGAATCTTGCGGTGGAGGAAAATCAAGAAGCTATAAAGAAAGGAAATCAATTGTATTTATGACTAATTAGAGTTACTTAAATTATATCTTCTCTCTTGTATAAATAGACATAGAGCATCTTGAAAAGGGTTAAGTTTTTATTACACGCATACACAAGTAATAAAAACACTTTTTCGACAATCTTATTTTTAAATTTTTTGATAATATTGACCTGCGGTGGCATTGAGTTGGCATCAAATTGTACCATTTTATGCTCAATGAACCTAATTTCCAACCCCAAATCAAATTAGCGAAGCTTATTTGAATATTGTATATAATGAAATTTAAAAATTTAAAGTGTAACTTCATAACCACTTGTCGTAGGATTGTGAGCATGATATTCAATTATATTCAGTGTGCGTGTCACGAAAGAACAAAAATCCAACCGCAAAATAATCAGCGGATGCCACGAATACAATGGGCTCGATGTACTGTCGTGGCTGCGTATGAAATTTTCATGATTTAAGTGGGACCCCACGTGATTGTTAATACTATTCTCTTCCACTAACTCGCTGAGTCATGCATAACGCCATAATAACTCGATCAGTAAACCGCCACCCTCCCGCGGTCTGTATCAATTATCAGCTCACTGCAAAAAGCACCCCAAAATTCATACAAATAAATTCCCGCAAACGATCCGAGTGTTCAGTCAATTTTGTGAATTGAAGAGGAAGCGCTGGAGAATCTCGATGTCGGGTCATAAGCTCGGGAGGATTCCTAGTATGAGGGAGAGAGTGGAGGGCACTCTCTCTGCTCACAGAAATGAACTCGTTGCTCTTCTCTCCAGGTATATGCGCATACCTCTTGAATTTATCATTTTTTTTTTTTTTGTACGGAGGAAATTCCCGGGAAATTTTTAAATCATATTGGAATTTTGAGTTATTGATAAACTTTATGACTAAACCATGCAAAGTTTGTAATTTTTTGTTTTTGTTTTTGTTTTTGTTTTTTTTTTTTTTTTTTTTTTTTTTTTCATGAAAGATTTGTGGCACAGGGGAAGGGGATATTGCAACCGCACAACCTGATCGACGAGCTTAACAACGTTAGCTGCAATGAAACTGCGGGTGTGAAGCTCAGTGATGGTCCCTTCAGTGAAGTCTTGAAATCTGCTCAGGTTTAATTTCCTTGGCCTTCTGATCTTTTCCTGAATTGCATATACAATAAATCTTGTTGGGTGGCTGGAAGCATCTATTGAGACATGATAGGATGAATTCATGCGAATTGTTAGTAGTAACTTAGTAAATGATCAAGACATTGGCCGTGAAAATTTGACCTTTTTTTAGTTTCTTTGCTATTTGAGCAACACAATATTGTTCTTAATCTGCTAGTTCTTTTCATGCCATAACAAGTCCAGCCTTTCTATAATTAGCCAAGTGACAAGTTTATTGATTTACATAAGTTTTTCATTGCTGTCACCAGGAAGCCATAGTGCTTCCCCCGTTTGTTGCTTTAGCTATCCGTCCGAGGCCAGGCGTTTGGGAGTTTGTGCGCGTCAATGTGTATGAACTGAGTGTTGATGAATTGACAATTTCTGAGTACCTTGGTTTCAAGGAAGAACTTGCTGATGGGCAGTAAGTGCTTCTTTTATAATATGCTATTCTTTGGTCTCCCACTTAATGTGAAAATTTTGAAATTCATTCTTGGTTGTTTTTGTCTGTGTGCAAGGAAATGTGGGCAGTTCATCCTTGAGCTTGATTTTGAGCCGTTCAATGTATCAATTCCACGACCCACCAGATCATCATCAATTGGAAATGGGGTTATATTCCTCAACCGGCATCTCTCTTCAATCATGTTCCGCAACAAAGATTCTTTGGAGCCTTTACTTGATTTCCTTAGAGTACACAAACACAAAGGGCATGTAAGTTTTGTAGGATGAAATTCCACTTTGCATATATCTGTGACTTCATTTCTGTGTACAACATTTTCAAATGTTCCTGAGAAATCTTGCATTGAAGAACTAATTTGACCAGTCCATTAGTCACATGACGAAAAGCCAAGTCCAGAGGTCACTGGAGTTGGAGTGCTTAGTTTGTAGTAGAATTTATGTTAATGAATTGTCTAAAGTAATGAGTTTGGTATGCTCTTAGTTTCCAAATTAGAAGCCCTGCAGAATTTGGTAGTTTAGGAAGTTTGTTATGACAGGTTGGATACTAATCTCCTGCTTCTCCCTGTCTAAGTTTGGTATTCTCTGTTTCTCATAGTTTCCATATTAGAATCCTTGCAGCATATGGTAGTTTAGGGAATTTTCTTGGATTAGAAGTTTTGAGATGTTATCATTTCATATCTGCTAAATTATGTGACTTATCATGAAGGCTCTTATGCTGAATGACCGGATAACAAAGATCTCTCGTCTTGAATCCTCATTGGCTAAGGCAGACGATTATCTTTCAAAGCTTCCATCAGATGCACCATATTCAGAGTTCGAATATGCGTGAGTGTTTTTTAGTAAATGAGCAATATATTTTCACGGTCTCTGCATCTAATGAACAAAGATAGGTGCTTAAATTTAATGTATAAAACTATGCTCATGCAGATTGCAAGAAATGGGTTTCGAGAGAGGTTGGGGTGATACTGCTGGACGGGTTAAAGACATGATGCACCTGCTTTCCGACATCCTTCAGGCTCCTGATCCATTAACCTTAGAAAAATTTCTTGGTAGAATTCCTATGGTGTTCAATGTTGTCATTTTGTCAGTTCACGGATACTTTGGGCAAGCAAATGTGTTGGGGTTGCCTGACACAGGTGGCCAGGTAACAACTTATAAATACAATTTTTTATAACCCCCTTTTTTTCTCGTCTCCCAGCTAGAATGTAGCATGATCCTCCTTATGGTAATTGTTGATGCGTAGGTTGTATATATACTGGATCAAGTGCGTGCCCTGGAAACTGAGATGCTTCAAAGAATAAAGCAGCAAGGACTTAATATTACGCCTAGAATACTTATTGTAAGTAATATATCGTTCTAGACTGATTTTACATTGTCTTGACATGCGTATCATGTGTGCTTTCTGATTGGAGATTTGATATTCTTTCCCCTGCTCATAAAAAAGGTCACTCGATTGATACCTGATGCAAAAGGCACTTCTTGCAACCAGCGGTTGGAGAGAGTGAGTGGAACTGAACATTCACACATTTTGAGGATTCCTTTTCGAAGTGATAATGGGATTCTTCGCAAATGGATATCGAGGTTCGATGTGTGGCCTTATCTGGAGAGATATACTGAGGTGGGATTGCCCTAATTGTTGGTTTTTTTGTTTCCTTTGGATGACCATTCTTAGTTCCTAGTGTTTCGACTAGTATATACGTCGGGAAAGAGTTCAAGATGTAAATTTAGGAACATTCAGACATTTGTTTCACTATAGGTAGTTTAATGTTTTGAGGCTATGGAATATTGAGTCGTCTTTGTTGATATTCCTTATTGTCTTTTCTATTAGGACGCCGCAAGTGAAATTGCTGCTGAGCTGCAAGGAAAACCGGACCTAATAATTGGAAATTACAGTGATGGAAATCTAGTTGCATCCTTATTATCACATAAGCTCGGGGTTACACAGGTTGATTGTTAACTTTATATTTTTCGGTTCTTCCTTGCAATATTAAAGTCTTTAGATTATCTGCCGATAGGCTTTTAACCCTTCTTTTTCTTTCCTTTCTAATTTTTTCATCTGTCTTTTTGGACACTTTCTTCCAGTGCACTATTGCACATGCATTGGAGAAAACCAAATATCCAGACTCGGATATATATTGGAAAAAGTTCGAGGACAAATACCACTTCTCATGTCAGTTTACTGCTGATTTACTGGCGATGAATAATTCAGATTTTATAATTACCAGCACATACCAGGAAATTGCTGGAACGTAAGTTTCTTTTCATGTTACATGTATACACTATTCATATCACTTCAATTGTATGGTTCAGTTCAATGTACTGTGGGTTTAAAATGAAATAGTTTAAATACTTTTTCTTTATTGAATTTTTTTTAGCACATTGATTCGGTTACTCATTCTGGGAGCCCCTTTGATTTCAGGAAGAACACTGTTGGTCAGTATGAGAGCCATACCTCTTTCACCTTGCCAGGCTTATACAGAGTTGTTCACGGGATTGATGTTTTCGATCCTAAATTCAATATTGTTTCTCCCGGAGCGGATGATACTATTTACTTCTCGTACTCTGAAAAGGAAAAGAGGCTGACATCTTTGCATGGCTCAATTGAACAGTTGATATATGATTCCGAGCAGAACGACGAGCACATGTATGTAGGCATTTATTTTTCATTTCTGTTTCCATTACTAGCCATCATCTGCATTAACTTTCGAGAACATGTTTATTATAAACATAGGTAAAGGTTGAGTTTTAGCAAAACCAGTGGGGCTTGCATAACTATGTTTTTGTTTAAGTACTATTGACTTTAATACAAGGTAGTATCTGTTCTATACTTTCTCTATCTGTTGCAGTGGTACACTGAGCGATCCATCGAAGCCTCTAATTTTCTCCATGGCGAGGCTTGATCGAGTGAAAAACATTTCGGGACTAGTAGAGTGCTATGCTAAGAATGCGAAGCTGAGAGAATTGGCAAACCTTGTTGTGGTGGCTGGCTACAATGATGTGAAGAAGTCGAGTGACCGGGAAGAAATAGCTGAGATCGAAAAGATGCATGGTCTTATGAAGCAATACAATCTGGATGGGCAGTTGAGATGGATTTCTGCCCAAACAAACCGTGCACGAAATGGTGAACTTTACAGATACATAGCTGACAAGAGAGGCATATTTGTTCAGGTACGAAGTTCCTAATCTCTCTTTTATTCGTTTAGTTGATAATGCAGTGGATGAACTATCAAACTTACCAATTAATAGTGTTATTGTTCTTCGTTATAGCCTGCATTTTACGAAGCTTTTGGGCTGACGGTGGTGGAATCCATGACTTGTGGTCTTCCAACATTTGCAACCAGCCATGGTGGCCCGATGGAGATTATTGAAGATGGTATATCGGGCTTCCATATTGATCCATATCACCCCGACGAAGCAGCTGAACTCATGGCAAATTTCTTTCAAAAATGTAAAGAAAATCCCGAGTACTGGGTAAAAATCTCTGATGCAGGTCTTAAGAGGATACAAGAAAGGTCTGTTTGTAGCAAAGAATATATATACATTCCACCTTGATCTCTATTACATGGAATCACAATATAACATTCTTGTATTATATTCTTCCAGGTATACATGGAAAATTTACTCTGAGAGGCTGATGACTTTAGCTGGAGTTTATGGCTTCTGGAAATATGTCTCGAAGCTCGAGAGGCGCGAGACTAGACGCTACCTAGAGATGTTTTACATTCTCAAATACCGCGAACTGGTAAGTTCTCGTCTCTCCATTTCCTCGTTCTCTATAAGTAGTACCCGATCAAAAGCTAGCTAGGAGCTAAGCATCGCCTACTTGCTTTTAGGTGAAATCCGTCCCCCTTGCCATTGAAGATGCAGAATGAAACTTCAAAACCTGCCCGTGTTGTATATATGCAGTTCCAAATAAAGGTTATATGGCCATGAATATGTTCATATGAAGAATTTAATGCGTGTTCTCCTCTCTGTATTTGCAGCTTTCCAAATAAAATGGACTTTAATTAACTGTATCAACTGTCACAGGTTTATCTTCTTGAAACCTGACCTTATAATCTGAGATAAAATAAGTTTGTGTTTCCAAATTACGAGATTATGTCGTACTATATTTGTTACTTCTGACTAAAGCACTGCATTGCCGTGTCAGACCCCCCCCCCCAACAGTCTTTTGACCATGTGAGAAGCAGACATACTTGCCCACAATTCTCTCCCTCACGTGACATTCGCCGTGGCCAACGGTCAAAACCTTGGGCCCCACGCCCAACGGTAACATATATTTTATTGTGCCGGAGTAAATATAAACCACACTCGTCCAAGAACCAGGTTCGAGTTTCGGACGTTTTATTGGCGTGGCGTGTTGAAAGGGACGAGGCTAGAGAGAGAGAGAGAGATAATTTCTGGGACAAAAACATTAATTAGCCGCCGATGAATTTTTTAAGCATTTTAAAAAGATGGGATAAGATTCATGAGATTAATAATACAGATTAGAGATATATATAAATGGTGTTAAACCTTGATCACTGTGCTCAAGGTTTTTGGGTAATGGGTTTCGTCCAATACACCATTTTTTGCTATTCAAGATACAGATTAATTAGTAGTAAAAGTAGTTGATTAACATAAGAAATTCATTTGATCATCTTCTAGCTGCTTCTAAAGTTGGCCAAATGAGTGGGCGAGATACGCCAGAGCTCCGACGAGGGGCGCGTTGATATAGGTCGACGGCTCCGACTGCTCGTAGTCAGAGCGTTGGTCCGGAAACCGGTCCTGCTGGTCGGGGCCGCCGACGACGGCGCCGACAAGGATGTTAGGGTTGGGGGCGTTAGAGCTCATGACACGGAATCCGGAGTTGCACTGAATCTTGGCCGGGTGGGTGGCGACGGAAGGCAAGGAGGAGCCTCGGTGGTGGATTCTCTGAGGAAACCTCGGACCGTAACCGACCATGTACGACATTCTTAAAGGGTTGTCTCCCAGCAGATAATCCACCTGTTTCTTGGCGACATTTCGCAGTCTCTTCGGGGTAACAATGACGCCGCCGCAGTTGACGGAGGAGTGGGCGGAGGTTAAGTACTTGGCATAGGTTACCAGCAGAAAGGCGGTGGAGGTCACATACTGCATATTACTGTCGCTCATTTTAAAGAGAAGCCCCGCCGGTGTATACTTAGCCTGAGTCAATGGCGTCCCGGGAACCAGGGAACAAATGTAGTTATCGGCGTGGCTTTTGTAGTCATGGAGAGTCTGAATCCTCTGTACGAGGAACGCCTTGGACAGCAGGATTCTCGCCCCGACATGTTTGTTGTCCCAACCAAACGTGTTATCCGTCTCCGCCGCGCCGAGGGTCTGCCCATTTCGCTGAATGTAGTTGAGATACGCAGAGTTCTTGGTCGCCTTGTGCAGCCAAGCAGCTCCCCACAAAAGCTCATCCTACATTATAATTCTCGTCAACGTCACTGAAACCTTAAAATTAACGAAAATGGAGCTGGAATTGGACGGTGGTTTTACACTTACCTCGTAGCCAGAAAAGGAGCAATAGAAGGGGCAAACGTATTTCCTCAACCCATTACTGTAAGATCCTCTGTACTTATCGGCAAATGCAAACACCCTAATGGCCCTCCTGATTAGCAGCTTGGAGTAAGTGGGGTCACATCTTCTGAACACCAAAGACGCGGCGGCCAGAGCCGCCGCAGTTTCCGCGGCAACCTCAGTCCCCGGATTGTTCTTGTCAACCTTGTACACGCTTCTTGGGGTGTCCATATCCTCCGGCCTCTCCCAACACGCATGGTCTCTGTTCGCATCTCCAACCTACAAAACCACAAACATCCATTCTGTTATCCAAACACGACAACAAACAACAACACATAATGTCATAATGACACTATATATATATATATATATATATATATATATATATATATATATATATATATATATATATATATATAGACCTGGACATAAATGGTGTCTGGATAAGCAGTGGCTTTAAGAAGATAGTCAGTAGCCCAGCGAATGGCTTCTCTAGCATTCTGAAGCTCGCCCTTCATCAGGCCACCAAACTCGAGCACACTCCACGACAGCATTGTGGTGGTGAACGCCATCGGAAAACCAAACTTCACATTGTCGCCGGCATCATAGTACCCTCCGACCAAATCAACCTGCATTTCCCCACGCATTAATCATCGTTAAACACTAGAGCACCGGAGTCGTATAAACAAAAAACAGAGAAATTAAATTAAAGAAAGCTGACAGACATACATGCATGGCGGAGCCATCAGAAAGCCCGGAGTTTCTTCTCCAAGAAATCCTCTGGTTATTAGGGAGTTTCCCGGACCTCTGGCCCTCGTAGTAGAGGATGGACTTAGTGAGGGCATCTCTGTAGTTGTGAGAAGCGAAACGAGGGTGGTTATGGTGGCGGTGTGCAGGGTAAGCGTTGCAGAAAAACAGAGGAGCGGTGAAGAAGCATAACAGGAAGATGAAGGACAACGTTAAAGAAGAAGAAGCCATGTTGTTTTTTTGCTGTAGTAAAAGGAATCCCCAAACAACCTGCGAGAACCGCACTGGGAATGCAGACTTTCCCCTGTATTTATAGGCCAACCGCTGTGCCATCTCCAACGTCCTCCTCGCTAACCACATAAATCCTAATCATTAACCCCAACACAGCTGTTTGGCTGTTACTAAGTTCACTGATTTTAATTAAGACTGAGTATTACTGATTTTAATTAAGACTGAGTATTAACAACAAAGTGATGATATTTTGATTGGGACCGACAGAATGAAGATAACTAATTATTAATTGTCAAATAAGAGTAAAAGTGAGAAAGTAAAAATTGGGAGTACAGTAAAACTCGTGCCAAATATATTGTGACATCGAATCTAATAAAGTATTTGTAACAATTAAACTCATCCTTTATATAATAAAGTTATATGGTTTGGGAAATAATTAATGTTACAATTAATGCCACAACATCTTTTATTATTAAAAAAAATACAACATTTAAAAAATAAAATAGCTATATATTATATAATCATATAAAAAATATACTTTTGAAAAATAAAATCGCTATATATTATATAATCATATAAAAAATGTGTTCAATTAGAGTTTAAATTTACACATACAAAATTTGAAATTTGCTTTCCAAATGTAATTATCTTAGTTATTATTTGTATTGTGAAAATTATAATATAGATGAAATACAATTAAGAATAAATTAATGTAATTATGTAAATTATTTCTATAAGTTTATTTGAATTAGCACATAATTAGAGATTATATTAACCATACAAAATTTTAATTTTAATTGTAATTTTGTAATCTATAAAAATAATAAATGATTGACCAATGGAAACCCAAAAATATTATTATATTAACAAATTTAAAATATTTTATAATATTTTTCTATTTTTTATTTATATTTATAATAACATAACTTTCCGTGCATCGCGCTTACTAGTAGTCTTTATATACAAAAATTATATTTACCCACCTAATTATACATTTCGGTCAAATCATTATATAAATTTTTATTCAATTGGTGTTGGTTGTGATGAAATTCCTTTTTCTATTTTTGTTTCCTGTCATAGTTTTACAATGTGGGGACCAATGCCATTTATACTACTATTGATATTAATATTGATGTAGACATCATATATTCTTTAATCTGTACAAAGAATTAATACACATTTACTCTGTATTTATTAATCAATTAGCAATTTTGTTAAGTTTTTGTGAGATCGTTTTCTAAAAGATTACACCTGAATCTCCCTGCTGCACTTTTATGTGAGTTAAGGCATTCCCAATTTTGAGATTGTAATGCAACTGGATTGATCACTTGAATTGTGCCGACCACCTGTATTGAGACTGAATACTAATGTTAGTCTTACGGTCACGGTAGTCGAACGGCAGGGCAAAATAATCCTAAAACAAATTAAGAAATAAATGAATAGAGTAATTGCAAGAAAGTTGAATTTAAAACCCCTTTTAATGTGCCACAGTGGTATTTATACAAGATTCACATACTTTGAAAAAGAAAGAAAAAAAAATTAACAAATTTGATTTTAAGAAAGCTTCATAAACTGTCAAACTACTTTCCTAATGTTGAAAAGGAAAATATCATTGAGAATACAAAAGAAATCTATGAAAAATCTCATTCCACCGCCTCTAAGTATGGCTCGTACGCCCGACTGCCTTCGCAAGGCGGGCAGCCGGTCCACACAAATCCAACCCCCGATCGATGAGTCTGGTTACTGAGTTCCTCTTGTCCCTCTAAGTAATGTGGTCAAACTGTGGACTCTGAATACCGAAACATATTTCTGACTAGGTACCCTGAATAGGGTATCCACCAACTAAAATATCCATTTATAACCTATCAAAAACAAATAAATTGAGATAGAGAAAGTATGTGTATATATATATTGAAGAGCTGAGTGCATAGACCAGCTTTTGATTCCAATTAGTTGGGAAGGGGGTCAAGAAAGTTGTAAAAAGGATAAACGTGGCAGTAATAAAATTATACTGGCCTGGGGTGTCGGATAAAGCGAAAGAATACAAGCATGGGGCGAGTGCTTGAATCTTGAGTTCAGTGACTTAGTCAAAAAAAAGCTCAAAATTGCCATGCTTCCTGCTTCTGCCTATGCTCATCTCTCAACCCAACAACCAAAGATAGACCAACAACATTACAACAACAACAACGTTAACAATAATAATAAGATTTTGAATGATTTGAGACAGACCCCATTTCACAACCTAACAACCATCACCTCACCTCGTCCTTATCCACTTCCATCTTTAACATTCCCTTCTCCCATTTCTCCCTTGTTTTTTCATACAACATATAGAGTGTAGCATGCTACCTAGTAAGTACTGTCTTGCATTCTCGTATGTATTCTATATTTTGTGCATGATTTTATGGATAGAGTTGTACATAACAATATTGATTCGAAAAAATGGTCAAAAAAGCCATCGAATTTTACCTAAGGAGTCAATTAGGCTACTGAAATTTGTAAAGTGGCAATTAAACTCATCAACATTGTATTTTAGTACAATAAAGTTAAAAAACCGATTAGTGACCTTCTATCACAAGTCACTAGG